ATGAAAATTCAAAACCAGCCCAAGCTCTCAAAACCAAAATATATATATACATCTGTATAGCTTAGTGGTTAAGCACCGCCTAGCATGCATGTACCTATCTAGCATCATCTTTCTCCATCTAGCTACCGTCTAAGCAGCGGAAGCAATAAACTAATAATTACATATTGAATTCTATTTGTGTCTTATACCTTGTTAGGTAATAGGAAAATGATTCACCTGCATAAGATTAAATCAGGAATTTTGTGACTAGTAGCAGTGGTGGCTCAGGCTCAGGGGAGGGAACTGGTGAGATAGCCCCAGCAAGTAAAGGCACTTGCTTCTGAAGCCTGGTAGTTAGTCCCTAGGACTCATATAACAGAGATGACCTCTGTTTTATCTCTGGGACCCATATAGTAAGAGAGAAACAACTCCTGAAAACTGCCTTCTGACCTTTACATATGTACTGTGGCATACCTGCACATGTGGGCTCATTCATACGCACAAAATAAATGCAATAAAGATTTGTTTTAAAAAGAAACAGATGGTCAATTTTAATTAGCAACTTGACATAACACAGAATCACCTGGGAAGAATCCCAATGAGGGATTAACTACATTGGGTTGACCTGTAGCCATGTCTGGGGGGTGGGGTGATGTCTTAATTAAACTAACAGACGTAGGAAGACAAAGCCTGTGTATATGGCATCCTTCATTCTGTAGGAGTCCCGTGCTGTCTCAAAGAGGTTGAGCTGAGCACAAGCAAACAAGCAGGTGACCATGTTTGCATTTGTTTATTTTTATTCTTGACTTTTTTGAGGTTTGTCCTGATTCTCTGGTAATGATGAACTGTAACCTGAAACTGTAAGCTGTAATAAACCTCTCTTTCCTAAATTGCTTTTCGTTAGAGTGCTTTATAACAACAGAAAGCAAACTAAGGCAGAAATCAATTGGTAAGGAAGCAGTGTTTCTTTACAGCAGTAGTCATGAAACTGAACTGTACCCTAAGGACAGTGGAGAGTCACTGAAAGCTTGGGAATTGAGACAGGAACTTAAATTTTTAAAAAGGCTTTATTTTTATGTAAGGATGTTTTGTTTGCATGTATGTCTGTGCACCATGGGCACTCCCTTGGAAACCAGAAGAGTGTGTCAAATTCCCTGGAACTGAAATTACAGATGGTTATTAGCTGCCATATGGGTGCTGGGAATTGAACACCCTAGCTACAAAGTAAAAATGGACGAGAAGGGAAGAAATTGCAGTGTGACCATTTGTGGTTAAAATCAAAACACAAAACACTAGGGGGGAGGCTGGAAATGTAGCTCAGTTAGTAGAAGGCTTAGCATACAAAAAGATCCTGGTTTTGGTCAGGCAGTGATGGTACATGCCTGTAATCCCAGCATTCAGGAGGCAGAGGCAGGTGAATGTCTGTGAGTTTGAGGCCAGCCTGGTCTACAAAGCATATTCCAGGACAGCCAGAGATGAGAAACACTGTCTTAAAAAAGAAAAAGAAAAAAAAAAGTCCTGGGTTTGAATCTCACTACCTCATAAAACCCTAGTCGGGCAGTGGTGGCACATACCCTTAATCCCAGCACTCGGGAGTCAGAGGCAGGCAGATCTCTGTGAGTTCAAGGCCAGCCTGGTCTACAGAGTGAGTTCCAGGACAGGCTCCAAAGCTACACAAAAACCAAAAACCAAAAAACAAACAAACAAACAAACCTGTAATCCCAGTATTTAGAGGGTAGAGGCTAAGAACTGACAAGGCAATACTGAAGGGACACTAGTGCCACTCAAGCATAAGGCCCTAGCAGGCCTTGCCCTTCTCCCTATTCAGCTAGTCACTAAGGTCTAATATTTCCCTAGCAGGCCTAATTAAAACTAAAGACCTCATCCTAATATAGGGTTCCTCCTTTACCTTTATAAACTGCCATAAGCTTATGTGCCATGTCTGTCCCCCTCCACCCAGAGGCATTCCTTTGTCCCTCCAGGACAGATACCCCTGCTCCCTTTCCCCTGGCCCCTTGATCCTTTACCACAGCATCCTAGCCCATTCTAACAAAGACCTTCTCTTTTTCTCTTAAGAATGACACCTGCAAGGTCATTTGCTGCTGTTTTCCTGAGTCTTCCTGAGTCAGAAAGCAGTCACTTTAATTTTTCTTCCCTGCTTAATTAATAAGGAATCTCTCTGTGAAAACACACGTTTGGGTGTGGTTTCTGCCTCATTCTGAGTCTGAAAGGGAGTCCCTGCTGCGCCTGATTCCCTTTCAAATATAGCAATCACAAAATGCCCAATCGATCATGGTGCAAGCCTTTAATCCCAGCACTTGGAGGAAGCAGAGGCAGGCAGTTCTTTGTGAATTTGAGGCCAGTCTGGTCTACGGAGCTAGTTCCAGGACAGCCAGGACTATTACACAGAGAAACCCTGTCTCAGAAAACCAAAAATAAAATAAAATGTCCAAATCAGTAGACAATAAAAAATTACAAATATTTACTTCCAGAATAGACAATCTCCAGTGAAGGTGGGCCTGCTTTTCATCCAGGCACTCAAGCTTGAATATTCCCAAAATCTGGATCATTTTCCTTAACTGGTCAAATATAGAAATCAGAGTAACTAAGTAACGGTTCTGCCCCCGTGGCCAGGAAGTGATTTGGGGTAACTTAATAAAATATTCACTTCTCTCATCTGGAAAATGGGATTTTGTTTTGGTTTGTTTTTGTTTTCTTTTTAATTTTAACTTATATTAAGTCTGTGTAAATATATGCCATGTATGTGCAAGTGCCCAAGAAGCCCAGAAAAGGGAGTTATGTTCCCTGGAGCTGAAGTTACAGGTGGTTGTTAGCAACACAACATGGGTACTAGAAGCTGAACTTGGGTCCTCTACAAGAACAGCATTTAATTTTAACTGCTGAGCCATCACTTCAACCCCTGTTCTAAATACTTCAGAACCGAAAGAAAGGAAAGAAAGAAGGAAAGAAAGAAGGAAGGAAGGAAGGAAGGAAAAAAGGAAGGAAGGAAAGAAGGAAGGAAGGAAGGAAAGAAATTGTTCAATGGTTAAGAGAACCAACTGCTCGACCAGAGGACCCTGGTTCAATTGACAGCACCTAAATAGCAGAGTACAACCATCTGTTAACTCCAGCCTCAGAGGATCCAAGGACCTCATCTGGTCTCTATGGGCACTGCATGCACATGGTACACAGACATACATGCAGGCAATACACTCATATAAAATTGTTTGTAGTGGGGAGTGGGAGACAAAGACTAGCCTAGCAAGGTCAAAAGAAAGAAAAGGTGGGGAGGCTCTAGTCATATGTCATGGTACCACCCTCTCCTAGCCTCCTTGGGCACCAGGCACACATATAGCATGCCTGTATAGATATAAGGAAAACATTCACAGACATAAAATAAATAAGTATAAAACAAAACAAATCTAAATTTACTGGGGGTTGGAGAGATGGCTCTGCCTGCCCCTGCCTCCACAGTGCTGGGATTAAAGGCCAAAATGTCCAGCATGTTTTTTTACTAAATTTTAAATTCATTTAATTTAGGTATATGAGTGTCTTGCCTGCATGCAAGTATAAGTATTGCATGTGTGCCAGGTGACCTTAGAGGTCAGAAATGGGTATTAGATCTCCTGAAACTTGAATTGCCAATGGCTGTGAGCTGGGAATTGTACCAACATCTTCTACAAGAGCAACCAGTTCTGATTTTGTAATCAGGCTGTCTGTATTTATACCTTGGAACTAATATTGCTTATCTGGATAACATCCAGTAAATTACTTAATCTCTTTAGGCCTCAGGTTCTTCATCTATGACTTAACCTTAACACCTTCCAACTCGAATAGCAGGATTATTAAATGAGGTCATGCAGAAGAACAATTAGCAAGAGAGTAATAAGTGTTGACAACGAAAGCTTAGGCACATAGATGTTTGTTATACATGACTAATGGTGTTGGGCGGTGGTGCCACACGCCTTTAACCCCAGCACTAGAGTTCGAGGCCAGCCTGAGCTACAGAGCAAGTTCCAGGGCAGGCTCCAAAACTACAGAGAAACCCTATCTCGGGAAAAAAAAAAAAAAAAGAGTAATGATGTGATGCCAGTCTATAGCTAACTGTGACCTAGACAATTGGTAAATTTAAGAACCTCCCCCAGAGCTCTCATTTCTAAGACCACCCATGTGTAAATGGAGGTTGTCGATGTCCGATGTCCCTGCCTCTTGGTATTGTGAACAAACAATTATAGGATGCTTGAAACGGTAAACCCATTTGGGTGGAGAGGTGTCACACTCAGTAGTAGACCACTTGTCTACACATGCAGATAGCCCCAGGTTTAACTATAGCACTGTTAAGAACAAAAACATGCGACATGCTCCATAAATGACACCTAGTGTTGGCCCTACTTCAATTCGGGCCAAGATGAATCTGTCTCCAGAATGACGCGGGGGCATCGAGGTCTGACTCCGTTTCCCTAAAAGGCTCCATGCAAGAGGTCTCCAACCGAGCTCAGCCAGTGGTCCAGTACCTGAGTCGCCCCCTGCGCTGACAGCTTGGACGTCAGGCCCCATCTGCGCGCCGGGCGGCTGGCGGGGAACCACGACGCCGCCGGTGGAGTGTTCATTAGGTTCGGGATCCATAGAGATGGATCTACAGGCGGCTTTAGCGTAAGAGAGGGCACGTAAAGAGATGGGGACCGGAGACCGTAACGCAATCAAACCGGAGAGGTCACGAAGCCAACCTCCAGCGATGACGTTTCATTTGCCGTGGGTTGGAAACACCTGGCTGCAGCAGGGCGTGACGCCGCATTCCCCTACAGCGCCTGCGCCACTTTCGCGCCACAAATTAGAGGCGGAGCGCTCTTCACGCGCCTTAGTGGAACTCTCTACCCACAATTCCTCCGGCTCGCAGGCGTTTCCGTGGGCGCATGCGTCCCTGCTGGTCCCTCCTCCAAATCCCGTGGTCCTCTGCGAAATGATATTTAAGTGTCGTCCGTTGTCCTTTTCGGTCTCATTTTTCTGTGCGCCATGTAAGTACTCTTTCCTTTGATTGGGTTTCTTTTTTTTAAACCAAACTCACGCTGTATCCGCGGCTGGCGACGATCTTATCTTGCAGATATCTGCCTGCCTTTGTTGTAATTAAAGGCATGAACCACCACGCGTGGCTTTTCCTTAAGCAATTGTTTTTGCTGGTTTTAGTTGCTTTTAGAGCCCGCGTGAACAAAGCGCTTCCCAGACGTGATTCTGTGTAACGTGGGTAACTGGGGCAGGGACGTTAGTTAAGTTTAGGGGTCTTCAGGACCTCGGAAACAGCAGGACTTTGTGAAGGACAAAATGGTGGCGGCGGTGCAGGGCCATCCCCGATGATGATTTCCTTTTCACAGACCTGTACTGATTTCCATGAGGATAAGTAATTCTGAGGAGGCTGGCCCGGTACCTAAAGCCTTCTGCCCCCACCCAGATTTCTCTTAAACGGAGGCGTAGAAATAACCAAATGCTAATTCGTTCCAGATTTGGGATGATTGTATACGGAAACATGGAAGTGTGCGTCCTTTTTAAGAGTAAGTACTTACGGCTTAACTAGTTTTTGGTTGCTGTGGGTAAATGTGTTACCGGGATGATATAAAAGCTGAACTCTCTCTTTCTGATGGTGCAGTGGAGAGAACATAAAAATCTCTGAGTAGCGCAAGTCTGCGGCAGATACCTGGGTTTGGTTTAGAGGGAAGACTGTTACTGAAGTGTTTTCGTTTCCATTTTCTCTTGCTCAGATATGGTTAATGAAAGCGGAGTTTACAATTTGGAACAAGGCTAGATTGACCTTACAAGTAGGACGTTTTGTTGGCAGTTCAGGTGGGTGATCATGGTTCACGCGGACAAGAGGGAGCACGTCTAGATGACCACTTAATGATGAGTGTAAATGACAAGCATATGCCTGAATTGTAGTGATGTCATCTCTCTGCTGAAAAGTGGGCTTATGAGGATGGAGGGGGACTGGGATGGCTATAAATAACTAAATTAAGTAATTTGATTTTCCTGTCCAGCATCCTGTAACGATATTCTGAGGAATGCAGACGACCTCCCAGGATGAATACAGGTAATTGCCCAAATGAGGCTGTGATTTTCCATGGCTGGAGAGTCTAATGGGAAAACATCGAAGCAGCACACAGTTCTCTTAGCTGCTGATGTGTTCTGCTTTTTAAAGGGCACCATCTCAATAGTCCCATTCATTAAAAACCAAGTCACTGTCAGATGATTTGAATCAATGTGCTGATGCTCTGTGAAGGTTGAATTAATAGCATGTTAGAGTTCTGATGGCAGTTGGTGGCGATGAAGAAGTCCTGGTCCATCCTGATGGTTGAAAATAACTGATTACTACTCTTTTCCAGGTTGTCCTGATGGCTTGTCTAAAGGTGAGTTCATATTGATGGAGCTGAACTTGTTTAGACTGATGGAATTGTCACCCTCCTTTAGTCATAGTATTCTGGTGTTTCTCTGATAATTCAATGTGCCTCCTTATTTCTCCTAGATACTTAGGCACAGATAATCAAAGTCAAGCAGTACTGAATATTTTGCTAGTGGGGTGACTGACAATTGGTTTTATAAGAGCCAAATAACAAGGGGGTGAATTATAGCATGCTCCTGGCTGTCTGTTAGAAATAGTAAGATAACTAGGCATGGTGAGATACTGAGCTTCCTGAACCCGGCACTGACGAGGCAAGAGAATCTCTGAGTTCTAGGGCTACACGGAAACCCTGTCTCAGGAAAAAAAGGTATTAACTATTGCTGAAATTTTAGCTAATTAACTTTCTTTATTTAGGAGAAGATAATTCCTGTATGCCATCAATCGCCAGCATTCAGAGGTTAGCTGATTTTTTTTTTTGATAGGGTCCATGTAGGCAGTTTCTGTGATGAATCAACTAGCTCACTATGACTACCAATGAAAACATAAGAACACCTGAGAAACTGAATAGTAGAGTGTGGGTGTGGCTGTATATCAAGCCGTTCATCCAACAGTTTGCTCCTTTTCTGCAGGTTCTGTTGGCAGTAGCGGTCCTTGCTGGTTCAGAGGTAAGTACAGTGTATTCATACATGTGACATTGGGTTTCAAGTTCCTGGAGGCATTTGATGAGCTTCATGTGATGACTTTCATAGAATCTCGTTCGGCTGATGGTTGCTGTTGAGACTTGGAAATCTGAATTATCACAGAAAAGTGGGTTACATCAAGACAATTTATTGCATGTTTTAAGCGTTGACTATCTTTTTTCAGATCTGGTGTCTGGCCTAGAGCTGAGGAACCAACTTTGCCAGGTAAATGCTTTTGTAATGCTATTTACTGTGTAAATTGTGTAATGATTTGGTCTAGTAAATTCCTGCTCACCAGTGATGAGTTGAATACCGCCCCAGTCTGATAACTGTGGAGAAAGGTATTTTCTGAGTTGTGAGATAACGCTGGATCAGTTGTGAGAACTATTAAGTTAGTGTATGAATTCTGTAAAATAAGCTTTCATTACAAGCAGTAAGGATGGCCCTATTCTCTGCTCTGTCTCTGCAGGGAAGTTGGGCGCATCATCACACGGCTGGGATAAGGTGAGAAAGCATGGGTGTGTAAGGTGTGAACTAGTTTCCCCATGAAGAAACTTTCACATGTCTTACTTCCTGTCCTAGCCCCAGAGCCTGAAAAGGTGAACCCACTGGGGCTGGCTGGGGGAAAAGAGGAAAATTTGTTCCAGAAGGAACTGTCTGAGGGACTGAGTTTTTATAGAGAGGAAAGAATTGTCACGTGATAAGAGATAAAAGGTAGCTTGTCTTTTCCTAGGTCTGAAGAATGAAGAACCTGTGAATGGTAGGTAGGTAACTAGGTAGTTGGTATTGAGTGGGCAGGCTGGAATTTTGGTTAGGCAAAAGGTGTATCTGGAAGGCAGAGGGTTGTCCATGGTGCATTTGGCATGCTAAATCAACTTAATTAAAACTTACTTTTACAGGAATGCAGATCTCCAAGAACAAAGATCTCTGTTCCCTCAATAATTTGTAGTTGTGTATCATCATTCACTTAATAAAATTGTTTGCCATTTGTTGTTTGGTTTATCTGTTTGGCAGAATAAAGGAGGTTTGGGTGGAATATAGGAATTTGGGTCCAAAGGCCAGGTAGCATGTGGCTTTTTTAAAATGTCCTGAAAATTTCTTTGCCCTGTGATTGCCTCCCTATACCAGGACTGTGCCCCCGTGGGGTTAATAGAATCTACTAGGCTACAGTAGTGCATGCCTTTAATCCCAGGCAGAGGCAAGTCGGCCAAGTCTATAACAGCTAGTTCCAGGACAGGCTCCAAAGCTGTAGAGAAACCAAAAGAAAGTAACAGTAGTGGTATATGACAGTTGACCATTTGGTATTTTACACTGAACTTCTGATGACCATGTTTGCCTAGAAGTGATATGATGAAGCCCCATGTCTACTACCATTTGGGGGCTTTCATTGTTTTGCCCGTTTGGATCACATTTATGAGGATCAAGCATGAGAACGGCCAGACTTAATACCTACTGAGCTATTTTCCCCATCTCCCTTGAAGGTTGCATGGTTTCTAGGAATCAAGTTTTGGGATATTGCTAGTTAATGTGCTAGTAGGTTTTTGATTGGAGGTTTTCTGAGAACTGGGTTTGTTTTCCACTGTTACCCTGAGATTGTGAGTTGCTATCAAGCTTGCCACACCAGTGTCATATGCTGTTGTCGCCAGGTTAGTCTATCCTTAACTGAAAACCTGTCTGCCAATACCAGTTGCTTGATGGTGATGTTGAACCCTAGGTTTCATGACGTCCTCAGAATCATTTGAAATACCGGCTGCTAAACATGATGGCCATACCCTGCAGCACTAGCACAAAGGCACAGGTGAATCTGTTAATCCCCACCTCCATCAAGAATAAACCTACTACCACAGATTAAAGCCAAATTTGAAGGTGGATAGGATCTAAGTACATATGCAGGTTCCCGGAAAAACACCCAGAATCTCTTGAGAGGCATAGAAAGTAAAACTCATTATACATCGAGTTTCCAATCACTGATTCCAGTCTGCCGCTCTTCTGCCGTATGTGATCAAACATTGCCAACGGAGCAAACTTGATTAGAGGAATGAAAAAAACGTGATTATCTTTCAAAGCTTCCAGCATTTCAAGTTCTTAGTCCTAGACTTGTAGATCAGAGGCATTTTGTATCATGCATAATAATCCAAGCTTAAAATGTAATTTTTGGTGTCACAAGTCCTGTGCTAACTCGTCCAAAAAAACTAGTAACAAGGCTGAAAACAAGACTGTCAAACTACTCTGTCTTCCTGTCTCCTGCCAAAATGAAAAGAACAGAAAAGGGGACAGACCTTGGCAAAAAAAATTAATCATTAGGTAAGGCTGTGGAGTATGAGAAGCCATTGTGACCCTTTGTGTGTGTAGTTAAGGGGGGCAGGCTGGAGAGATGGCTCAGCAGTTAAGAGCACATAATGTTCTTCCAGAGACCCACAACTGTAATTCTGTAATCTGTAAATAGGACACCACACAGGAATACATGCAGGCAAAACCAAAATGCATAAAATAAAAACTACTAAAAAGTAGTTGGGGACAAGGCCAGAATGGTTGATTTCTAAATTCATACCCAGGTTGTTCTTCCCACTAAAGCACCAGGGCATTCTGCCACATGTTCACTAATGGTTCCCGGGTTCTGTTCTTTCATTTTTCTTATCTTTTTTTTCGAAACAGGGCTTCTCTGTATTTTTGTGCCTGTCCTAGGACTTGTAGAGCAGGCTGGCCTCAAACAGAGATTCACCTGTCTCTGCCTCTTGAGTGCTGGGATTAAAGGCATGCATCACCACTGCCCGACTCAGAGTTTCTTTGTTTAAAGCTTTGCAGCATATATTTGGGAGAACCTTTCTCCCACACACTTTTTTTTAAATGACTTACTTTTTTTTTTAGTCTTTTTTTTAAAAGATTATTTATTTATACAGTGTTCTTTCTGCATGTGTGTCTGCATGCCAGAAGACACCAGATCTCATTGCAGATGGTTGTGAGCCACCATGTGGTTGCTGGGAATTGAACTCAGGACCTCTGGAAGAGCAGCCAGTGCTCTTAACCTCTGAGCCACTGCTCCAAGCAAATGCACACATCTTTGTCTTTTTTGAGACAGGGTCTCAGTTTCAGTCCTCCCTCTGTAACCCAGACCCAATCTTTTGAGTATTGGAATTAAAGTGTGTTCTACCACACTTGACTTAAAAGAGAGATGTTTCATATTAACCTTGCAAATTTGTGTTTTCCAAAGTAGAGCCTTTTTTATTTTTTCTATTATGGAGTCTCAATGTGAACAAATAAAACAATGTGGTCTCTACTTTTCAAAACTGACCTAAACGGATTGACAATTTCACTTTCCATCTTTAGTTTTCATTTATAATCAAGAATGAAGTCACACGTTGGGCGGTGGTGGTGGTGCCTGCCCTTAATCCCAGCACTCGGGAAGCAGAAACAGACCTGTGAGTTCAAAGGCCAGCCTGGTCTGCAAAGTGGATTCACTAAACCCTTGGCAGATCTTGGTGAGTTCGAGGCCAAACTGGTCTACAGAACGAGTTCCAGGACAGGTTCAAAGCTACAGAGAAACCTTAAAAATATTCAGTTTTCATTTATGGTCAAGAATGAAGTCACGTGCCAGGCAGTGGTGGCACACGCCTTAAATCCTAGCACTTGGGAGGCAGAGGCAGGCGAATATCTGTGAATTTGAGACCAGCTTGGCCTACAGAGTGAGTTCTAGGACATCCAGGGCTATACAGAAAAACCCTGTCTCGAAAAACAAAACAAAAGCAAAAGCAGAAAGAAAAAAAAAAGGAAGGGAGGAAGGAAGGAAAGAAGAAAAGAATGAATCACTTCTGAAATTCCTTTAATAGTGCGGGACATAGCCAACACAGGATAGAGAGACCGATGAGAGCAGGCTCCACCCACCCAGCATGGCAGTTCAGAAAGCATGCTTTTCACTGGCAGCGCAAAAATAATCCTTACTTTTCAGTTCTCCATAAACAAGATTATCCTGTTTGTAGTTTTCCGTTTCTTTGGTTTTTGTTTTTTCCGTAAAGCTAAAACAAGGTGGGATTGGCAGAGTTTTGCGGTCCCTACTTTTCCAGCTTCCAGAATGGCGCTGTCCAAGCTGAGCGTGTTTGAAACCAGTCTGTAATCCCCAACTACTGTGAGGCTGAGTCAGAACTATAAAATCAAGCCCCTGGTTGGAGAGATGGCTCAGTGGTTAAGAGCATTGCCTGCTCTTCCAAAGGTCCTGAGTTCAATTTCCAGCAACCACATGGTGACTCACAACCATCTATAATGGTGCCCTCTTCTGGCCTGCAGACATACAGACAGAACATTGTATACATAATAAATAAATAAATATAAATAAATAAATAAATAAATAAATAAATAAATAAATAAAATCAAGCCCCGCCTAGATTACAAAGTGGGTTCATGGCTAACCTGGTTTATAAAAAAAAAAAAAAAGCGGACCTGAGCTATAATATACAGGGGTTGCGAAGTCCTAGGGTTAATGACAGGAGCGCTCCTCCGCACTTTGTTTCTTGCGGTTTGTTTGTTTGTTTGTTTGTTTGTTTTTTGAGACAGGGTCTCCTTGTGTAGCCCTAGCTGACCAGTAACCCACAAAGTTCCACCTGCCTCTGACTGCCTCCGGGGTGCTGCGATGAAAGACCTTTTACAAAGGGTGGGGGATAGGAGGGGAGGAAGGGAGAAAGTAAAGGGGGGGGGGGGGAAGAAAGGGGAGGGGGAGAGGAGAGGAGGGGAGAGGAGGGGAGGGGGGGGGAGAGGAGGGGAAGGGAGAGGAGGAAGTTCCGTGTCGTCAAGATTTGAATCCGGCGCCCCCTGATGATGCAGGTAGTAGCGCGCCGGAAGTCGAGTCATCGGCTGCTCTGCGATGGCGGCCACCTCTCCGCTAGGAAACCATGTGTGGGTCGGCACCGAGACGGGGATCCTGAAAGGTGAGTGTTTGAGTTGTTCGTCCGAAAGTGTAATAGTCGCTTGTCAATCCAGCGTGACTGACGTCCTCGTCCCTCAGGGGTGAACCTTCAGCGGAAACATGCGTCAAACTTCACGCCGTCCGGACAGCCGAGGCGTGAGGAGGCGGTGAATGCTCTATGCTGGGGCGCAGGTGGCGAGACCCAGGTGAGTGACCACTCGCTCGGCCTGAGCTAGGAGACGGGCCCGGCAGCCCTGCTCTTCTCCCATCCTTCCCTTCTCTCTGCTGGCAGATCTTGGTGGGCTGCGCGGACAGGACTGTGAAGCACTTTAACGCCGAGGAGGGTACATTCCAGAGGCAGAGACACTGCCCAGGCGGGGAGGGCACATTCCGAGGTCTCGCCCAGGCCGATGGGTAAGGAGCATACCCTAGCTCAGGTCGCAGGAAGAGCATTGAGTCTCCCTTGGGTGAAGTGAATGCTGAAGTTAAACCCTTATATGATACAGCCTATGGGTGATTGCAAACCGTGTTCTTGCTTTCATTCATTCCTATAACATGCATTTATCGGAAAGCTACTGAATGCCAGATATCAGGGAAAAGTACAAGGGTCTGGGTAAAATATGTGCCTTCATAAAGTTTGCATCCAACAGTTTTTGTCCTGACTACTTTATACTATTCTGTGCAAGTATTCTCATGCTTTTAAGTAGTGATTGACAAAAACCAACAAGATAATGAAACTTCCAAGAGATGACTAGGAAGGAAGATTCCCATAGGTTAGGTTAGTTATCTTTAGTTATCTAGGTGCAGCTTCTCTAGATTGGAGAGAAGACTGCGTTAGTAATTCAATAGGTGAGCTCCAGAAAGAATATGCAGAGGATGGAGTTTTGAACTGGGTCTTGACGTACAAGAATAATCGTGACAGTCAAGAGATAAGAACATCCTAAAAAGCAGACACTAACTGAACAGAGACTAAGTGTTAAAAGACTAATAGGACAAATAGCATTTGGAGGTTGAAGTCAAGGAAGCATTTTTTTTATGCAGGTGGGTTTGGCTTTGTATTTGGTTGAGATTAAATGGAAAGGGCTTTTGTTCTAAGTTGAGATTGTATTTCATTGATAATGGAGAATACGTTGGGTTTTGTACGGGAAGTGCCATGGACCCAGCTCTGAGCCTGTAGGAGTGAGGAGCATTAGAGCTGCTGTTTGCCACAGCCCAGGCAAGCAATATAGAGCTAAAATCTAGGTAGGCAGATGTGACGAAGAGCATAGGTTCAGGCTGTCCAGAACCTGGGAAAAGGTTTGGGCTTCTTGATTTATGTGTTATTGTTGTTTGGTTTGTGTTCGTTTGTCTTTGAGATAGGGTCTCATATAGCCAGGATGGCCTTGAATTCAATAAGTAGTTCAGGCTGACTTTGAATTCCTGGTGCCATGCCGCCCCCCCCGCCCCCGCACCACTTCCCATGCCCTTTACAGGTAGGTATGAACCACTAAACCTGGTTTACACTTTTTAAAATCCCAATGTTCCTTTCTCTGATTGTAGCACCCTTATTACGTGTGTGGATTCTGGGATCCTTAGAGTCTGGTGTGACAATGACAAGGAAGCATCTGACCCAGTAAGGTTCACCTGCCCTAGTGGTTGGAGAGAGTGGGAGCCAGGGCGTAGGGGTCTAATGGGGAATTTGGTGGGCAGAAGATTAACGGCTAAGGACTCTGGGACTGACTTGCCTTTAATTCTTTTCAGCTCTTGGAACTGAAGGTGGGTCCTGGGGTGTGTAGGATGCGCCAAGACCCAGCACATACTCATGTGGTTGCCACATGTGGGAAAGAGAATGCTTTGAAAGTATGGGACCTACAGAGATCTGAGCAGCCAGTGTTCAGGGCCAAGAATGTAAGTGATAAGGGATGGGGCGGGGGGGGATGCTTTCTTTGAAGTTGGAGGCCACTGACTGTGATTGAGGCTTATATGGGCTTTCGGGGGATGGAGGACTGAAGGAGCAGGTCAAGCTTACCTTGTGTTCCATGTGTACCTTCATACCAGGTGCGGAATGATTGGCTGGATCTACGGGTTCCTATTTGGGACCAGGATATACAGTTCCTCCCTGGGTCACAGAAGCTTGTCACATGCACAGGATACCACCAGGTGAGACTCTTTTGCTTATTCCTGGATTGAAACAACTTTCTAGAAAAAACTGTCTCCTAGCAGAATAGGTTCCCATGCTGTCTCACTGTCGTCTTCTCTCCTGGGCTCTCAAAGGAGTTCATATTTCCTCAGCTGGTCAAGCCCATGGCTGAGCCAATGACTTTCCCTTTACTGCATTCTAGGATACAATTTCTTAAACTATGACTTTCTATTTTTCCTACCTAGAAGGGAAAGCAAAGGGAGTATTCCTTTCACACTAGGTTCCATAGGGAACAGATATCATGAGTAGATATCAGGTTGGCTGTCAAAACAATTATATAGTCCTCCCATCTACTACTAACCAGGCTCATGAGATCTGACAAGATTGGGCGTATTCTGGTCAAATTTGTAGTCCTCATGTGTTGTAAAATATTGTTTATGCTGTGGAACATTTGTATAATGATGCAAACATGTATTGCATTTGTTTATGTTACATTTGTTTAACTCTGTGAAGCTGTGATCCTTTGCCTGTCTAAAGCACTTGATGGTCTAATAAAGTCTAATAAAGCTGAATAGCCAATAGCGAGGCAGGAGAAAGGATAGGTGGGGCTGGAAGGCAGAGAGTATAAATAGAAGGAGAAACCTGTGAGAAAAAAAGAGGAAGAAGGAGCAAGAACAAGGAGAGGAGGACTCGAGGGGCCAGTCACATACCCAGCCACAGAGGAAGAGTGAAAGTAAGATATACAGAAGAAAGAGAAAGGTCTAAGTCCAGAGGCAAAAGGTAGATAGGATAATTTAAGGAAAGCTGGATAAAAAACAAGCTAAGTTAAAGTCGGCATTCATAAGTAAGAAAAAGACTTCATGTATATGGTTTATTTGGGAGCTGGGTAGTGGGCCCCCAAGATTATGTAAAGAGCCAAAGAATAAAAGAAAAAGCAAGAGCAATATTCATGTGTCTAATATACTTTGAGGACACCTTTCTGGTCTCAGCTCTTGGCTAGGGATCTTTTGTGACTTATTTCATTTGAAGTTCTGAGACTCGAGCAGGTTGGGTCACTAGTTGCCATTTGTATAGTCCTTCACATTAAAGTCTAATTTAGATGCTAGGCCTTTGTTCATAACATATGAAGAGCTCCCCACCCCTCCCTTGGTAAGGCTAAGCTTTCCTGCTTGAAATCCACCACCCCCTAGCTTTGGTCCAGCTTGCTTTTCTGTTTCTCTGCTACCATCAGATGCGCATACGAGAGACAAAATATTTACATATATTCTCAGACATAGACATCTGCCCTCAGCCGGTGCTCGTGCTCCTAAGCAGTTCTTGCCCAAACATTCTGAGATGAGATGAGGGACATACCTCAAATGAGGAAATTTCTCTGAGGGGCTTATAAATAGTAAGCAGTCTTGCCAGGCACTCCTTTAATCCAAGCACTCAGGAGGCAGATGTGAGTGGATCTCTGTGAGTTTGAGGCCAACCTGGTCTACAGAGCAAGTTTCAGGACAGCCAGAGCTACACAGAAAAATCCTGTCTTGAAAAAAAGAAAACTAAATAGTAAGCAGTCTTCAGAAGGATGATACTAGAGATGAAGATAATTGGGGCCAGTGTAGGTAAGGATACTCTTGTGATACCACAGTCTTCCTCTAGGTCCGTGTCTATGATCCAGTCTCTCCTCAGCGCCGGCCAGTCCTAGAGGCCACCTATGGAGAGTACCCACTGACAGCCATGACCCTTACTCCTGAGGGCAAGTGAGTATTGAGGGGAGAGAATCTGGAATGACTCCAGAAGTTATACTGAGCCCCTGTCTGGTCTCCTCCATAGTTCTGTCATCGTAGGGAACACTCATGGGCAGCTAGCAGAAATTGATTTTCGGAAAGGTGAGTGGACAACGGATTGCTTGAGCGGGGGAGGGGCAAACAGAAAGGTAGTACGGGGTGGGGGGCAGGTCACTGAGCCCTGACAGTGCCACATTCCTTCCCTGGGTTCAAGTTCTGGAATTACCAAAAACTGGCTTTGGACTAGTTATTTGGTCCCTGTGTCTTTGTTTCCTTACCTGTAAAATTGGAATATCACTGGTAACTCAGGTATTTTGAAGATTAAGTACTGAAACATAAGTGGCTTGAACAGTAACTAAGTAAATGTCCATCAGCTAGGCAGCTAGCACTGATTCCTCCACCTTCTCCAGGGCGTCTACTGGGCTGTCTGAAGGGGCTGGCAGGCAGTGTCCGTGGGCTGCAGTGCCACCCTTCTAAGCCCCTATTAGCCTCTTGTGGCTTGGACAGAGTCTTGAGGATACACAGGATCCGAAATCCACGTGGGTTAGAGCATAAGGTGAGAGCCCAGCCCTCTAGCATTCACTCCAACATCTTTTTCTGGAGCCTCTCCTGCTCCCTGTGCCCCACATTCAAGTTTCTGTCTCAGCTCATCTGGACTCGACCCCTTTTATTTTACAGGTTTATCTCAAGTCTCAACTGAACTGCCTCCTCCTGTCAGGCAGGGATAATTGGGAGGTGAGCAACTACTTAGGTGTAGGAATGTGAGAGCCAAAGGCATGATGACAAGGAATTCTCGGTGGAGAGAATGGGAGGCAGCTTAAACACAGACCACGGCTGTCTCTTTACTGTAACTTAATTTCCCTGAGGGATGTTCAAGCCTTTATAGGCTTATCGCCAAGGGTGAGGTACTCCAGAACACAATAGCTTTGGTTTCTAGATCAAAGTAGTGGTGTCCAGAGGCATTATCTTTCTGCCAATCTACTCCCTTGACACTGATTCTTGAGTTTCCTTCTCACTCATCAGGATGAGCCTCAAGAACCTCAAGAGTCCAACATGGTGCCCCCAGAAGACACAGAGACAGATGAACTTTGGGCATCTTTGGAGGCAGCTGCCAAGCGGAAGCTCCCCGATTTGGATCAGACACAAGTGACGCTCCAAACAAGAAGAAAGAAAAAGAAGCGGCCTGGATCCACCAGTCCTTGAAAGACCCTTGCTCATTTTGTTAATAAACAGTCCAACATACACAGATCCTGAACCTTTTGTGATGGGAGAAAGGAGAGGTGGTTTGTGCGTGGGAGGGGTTCCCTAACCCGGGCTGTGGGAGACCTGACGTCACAAAAGCTAGGCCCAGAGTTAAGCAGGCTGGGGAGGGTGGCAGAGTCCTGCGCCTCTCGGGGCCATGGGCTGCTGTCAAGGCAAGGACCATCAGACCTCTGATGACCAAGCAAGAGAGGACGAGAACGGGGAAGGTAGGACCAGACTCACAAAAGGGTCGCGGGAGGGGAATGGGAGTGGGAAGTACCTAAGAAAGGGCTGCCTCAAGAGGTTGGATTAGAGAGATCAGAACTGGGGTTGGAGAGATGGCTCAGCCTTTAAAGACGAGGCGCACAATCAAAAATATAAGAGCAGAACTGAACAAAGTGGCTTCGTGGCCTTTGCAGGCAACGGAGGCGATTTGGACAACACAGGCCGCCAAAAACAAAGATCTAACGAAAGTCTTCTGATCACCGTGCTGTGGCGCAGGCTATCCATGTTCAGCCGTCGGGGGTCAAGCAAGAGGCCCTCAGAACAGACTCAAAAACAGGACAGTCAGATCCAGGAGCGCAAACGTGAGGGAAGCCACAAGGAACCAGAAAAGGGCTGACTCCAACCCTGTTCTCGTCCTCCCCAACATCCAGAGAATAAAATTAATATTGTGGATCTGCCGAAAGCACCTAAGCCTCAGCTTCCAGCTTTGTAGGTGCAGGGACCACGGGCTCTTTAAGGCGCCTCTGACCCAGCCCCTTTGGGATCTGTTTCTGCGCCTCAGGGGCGGGGCCGCGGCGACAACCTAGCCAATGGGAAATCGGAGGTGAGCTCGCAGGGGCAGGGGTGTGCTCTTTCTGTCTCCGGGCTTAGAAAAATAGGCGTGGCGCGGTAGCACGTCACGGGGGTGGGGTTACGCGTGGGTGACGTGGCGGCTCCTGCTCTCGGGTCCGATTTCGGCGGCTTACAAGTCCGGCGAGGAGGCGGCGACGGCCTGGGGAGAGTGGCAGTGGCGGCGGTGGTAGGCAACAGAGGAGGTAGGGCTTCGCTCAAATGTGGGTCCAGTCTTTGTCGGTCTTCTCAGCTCAGGGGCAGCGACTTGACGGTGGGGGAGGGGGCAAAGAAGGGAGCCAGGGGCAAGTCCTGCTGGCGGCTCTGCGAAAGCGCATACCTCGCTGTCCAATCAGGAAAGGCCTTGTTTAGAAAGACGTCGGCCCTGTCCAATCAGTGGCTGCAGCCTTCCAACAGGCGGAACTTTGATGGAGGTGGGACTTCCTGTTTTAAATAAACACTTAAGAGGTTCCCCCCCCCACTCCGCCCACCCTAGTGTGTCCACCTCTGGAGGTCGGTTGCCGGTTTCCCGTGATGGGGTGAAGGAAAACACGTAAACCAGAGGGCACGATTAGGATCTGGGCCAACTGCAAAGGTCTGGCTAGAGGCTCAGGGCCGCAGGACCAGGCTCTGGCTGTTTTCTCGACTTTAGGGCCACCGGCCGGTGCTTTGGCCGTCAGAGCCAAGTTGGAAGGAGAATCTGAGGAGCTCGCCTTGGGCCTGGAGGAAGCTGACCCTTCTCGCCGTGGCCGGGCTGCAGGATCTGCGGGTGGCCTTGGGCTCGAAAGTCTGTCAAATACGGGAAAGGGCCTGAGGATTTGCTAGTTGAGGGAAGAGTTTGGGGAAAGAGGCTGTCTGGAGAATGACGTTCTCCTCTCCACAACAGTCCGAGGTTATGCGACTCAATGATCCCGCGGAAACGCTACGGATCTAAGAACACGGATCAGGGTGTCTACCTGGGTCTCTCAAAGACACAGGTTCTGTCCCCTGCAACAGCTATCACTAGCAGCAGCGACATCGTTCCTTTGTCCACCCCGGTGGCCCTGGTCCCTTCCCCTCCCGACACCATGTCCTGCCGGGATCGGACCCAGGAGTTCCTGTCCGCTTGTAAGTCGCTGCAGAGCCGTCAGGTAAGGATCCGGAGTGGAAAGGCAGGTGTGAGCCCAACTAATGCTTACGTTTTATCTGCAGTTATCTAGATTTACTTCACAGATCTTAGATTATCTAATGTTACCAGTAAAAGTGGAGGAATTGTCTTTAGTAGAGACTAAGAATAGTTTAAGTAACTTGTTCTGAATACCACAAACGATGAGTCAATATTTAAACCTGCATCTACTTCTGTTATGTTGTTCCACAGCACAGCAAAACTGTTTATTTAAATCTTCTTGCTCATATTTGAATTTTTCCACTACATAGCCCTGTTCTTCTTTAGCTAGCAATAGTTCATTAATTTTAAACTCTAAGCCTTCTCATTCATGGAAAAACTTTTTTTTCTTAGCTATAAACCCCTGATAAATTTATAGATTGTCTGATGCCAGCAGCACTAGAGTGTTTAGTGGGATTGTGAGAGAGCGGTGAATCATGAAGGGGAACTAAAGCAGTGACTTTTTGACATTACCTTTCAGAATGGAATCCAAACAAATAAACCAGCTCTCCGTGCTGCCAGACAACGCAGTGAATTTACCCTTATGGCCAAGTGAGTTAAGAGAGGCTTTGTGGTGGGGTGATATAAAAGCTGAGAAGTCAGTTTGCCTGTGTTGATTTGGCTGAGTGGGGTTGGTTGTGTTGGGGCCTATGGAAATAGCCTGCCTCCTGCCCGTTACCACAGCCTTTTCACTGATGATGCTTTACATCCTTACAGGCACATTGGGAAAGATCTCAGCAATACATTTGCCAAGCTGGAGAAGCTAACAATCTGTAAGTGTTTGGTAGATCTTTCCTAGGTGGGAGTGGGACAGTGAAACCGTACTAGGAAGTGAGGCTCATGGAGGTTTTGCTTTTCCTATGGTGCTGGGGATTTTAAACCAGGCCTTTGTGCCTTAAAGCAAGGCCTCTACCCTCTGAGCCTTGTTATTACCCTTACCGTTGTAACATCTCGTCTGTCTCTGCAGTGGCAAAGCGCAAGTCCCTCTTTGATGATAAAGCAGTAGAAATTGAGGAGCTAACATACATCATCAAACAGGTGAGCTGCTAGCCGTCAGGAGAGCCCAGCATTCTAATTAGATTACTTCCATCATTTTCCATCGCCATGAATCCCTAGGGTAAGTATCTAGACCTGTGTCCAAACACCCTGCTCCTACATTGAGTCAGTAGACACTTAGGAACATCTAGCATTTATAAAGCACTGTTCTAGATGCTGATGGCACAAATGGGAAGCAAGATGATTTTCTTCAAAGGCTCACTCTTCTTAAGAGTTACCCAGCATAAGGGCCTGCACTTAAAATGGGTAGGTGATAGTACAGAAAAGATTCTACAAAAAGATGGATGAAACAGGATGCTGGGAAAGATGGACAGAGGGTGTGAAATGTGAGCTGAATTCAGAGCTAGGTAGAGGTAGTAAAAGGACCTAACAAACAGTCCGAGGGGTCTGTATGCAGAGGTGTTGATTAGAAAAAGGAGAGGTCAGCCAGAGGATGGTGGTGGCACATACTTTTAATCACAGCACTCAGGAGGCAGAGGCAGGGGATCTCTGAGTTTGAGGCTAGCCTGGTCTACATAGTGAGCTCCAGGAGAGCCAGAGTTATGCAGAGACCTTGTCTCAAAAAAAAAAAAAAAGGAAGCAAGTCCATTGTCTATAATTTCTGTATGTTTATTTGTCTTCATTCCCTCCCTCCTTTTGACTTTTCCAAAATAGAAGAAAAAGAATGGGAGGGGAGATGATAGATTTTCAGATACCCCAGGAGCAGGTTCTTTGTTTTCAAGACTGCCAGGCATGTATTTTTGGTTTTGTTTGTTTAAAGACAGCATTTCTCTATATATCCCTGGCTGTCCTAGAACTTTCTCTTTAGACTAGGTTAGCCTCGAACTTAGAGATCCACCTGTCTTTGCCTCTTGAGTACTGCAATTAAAGGCATATGCCATGCCTGGCTACTACATGCTGGTGTTTAATTTGTGGTTCTCCTGTCTCAGCCTCCCAAGCTCAGGGATTTTACCATGTATCGCCATGTCGGTCCAGGATTTTTCTTTCTGCTTGTTCACAGGTATATTACAAGTGCTTATATAATAGTAGCGGGCCTGACTGTTGGTTGCCTAAATGAGTGACCAGCAAGAAGTTGGTTGTTTGACTGAGTGGCTAGTTGTAAGAGCGTTATGGACCTTGATAACCAGGTGTAGAATCGTGTCGGGGTAGCATGTAGAGTCTGATCTGAAACATGGATGGGCTGGGGTAGAGGCTAAGGAGGCAGTTGTGTGACTATATAGTACAAATATGGTGGCAGAGGTCAGAGAGCAAATGCATTTAAGAGGTGCTCTGCTGGTGAAAGAGTCTCAGGGTTGCTGTTGGGGTTATTAACCACTTAAGGACAATCTCACTGGTTTCTGAAAAACCTGAAGTTGCTTAGGTTGTGACCGTGTGTGAGCTCCTAAATTCTGAGTTGCTACTGTCTTATCAGTAAGTTAGAGATAATAAAAGTACCTGCCCCAAACCTGGGCAGTGGTGGCACATGCCTTTAATCCCAGCACTTGGAAGGCAGAGGCAAGCGGGTCTCTGTGAGTTCTGGTCTGCAGAGTGAGTTCCAGGACAGGCTCCAAAAGCTACAGAGAAATCCTGTCTCGAAAAACTAAAAAAGAAAGAAAGAAAAAAGAAAAAAAGTAATATCTGCCCCACAGATTTTATGGGGATCATTTGTTTGCTTGGTTTTTTTGGGGGGGTGGGTGTGGGGAGAGGTTCAGGACAGGGTTTCTCTGTGTAGCCCTGACTGTCCTGAAATTTGATCTGTAGTACAGGTTGGCCTCAAATTCAGAGATCTGCCTGCTTTGTGACCAAGTTGGCCTTAATTAAACGCAGAGATCATTTGTCTCTGCCTCCCGATTGCTGGAATTAAAGGTGTACACCCCACCAACTGCCCATTTGTTTTCTTTTGTCAGTTGCTGACACTGGATTTTCAAAACTGAGAATATTTCAGGTTGGTTGGCTGCAAAAGTGGTATTTGAGCTGTGTCTGAATAGTAAGGGAAAGGAGCTCATCTGATGATCTGGTGGGAGTGCATTCCAGAAAGTGGGAATGCAGTGCAGAAAATGGGCATAGCAGGAGGGAAAGGTCTCAAGTGTGGGTCGCATACCACAAGGGCAGAATATAGTTAGAGAAGTAGACAGTGGCCAGACAGAGGACCTGCGTAAAACAACTTAAACATGAAGGCTGTATTCTAAATTGAGTGATGAGCTCTTGGGAGATTTTCAAGCAGAGGGATGGCAATACCCTGGATTTGCTTTTTTGTGTTCTGTTTTGTTTTTTCTTATATTCTTTATTTTGATGTATTTATTTGGATTTGGTTTTGAAGATCATACTAGCCACTATTTAGGCAGTAGATTATAGGAAATGCAGACTAGAAAGTCATTAATTTAAAAGGCTCTTAGAGGTTTTTTGAGTAGAGAAGATGGTTAGGGTATATGAGGTAGAAAAGAAGATAATATGGATAGATGTAGAATATATACTGGAAAATAAAGCAAAGTTTAAATTGGAATCATTTGGGTTCATTGTGAGCAAATGATGGTTCCATGTGCATTTGAAGGAAAAGGGAATAAAGGTGTTATTTGGCTTTGTTTGGGTATTTATTTATTTATTTATTTATTTATTTATTTATTTATTTGAGGCAGGGTCTTACTGTGTAGACCAGGCTGGCTTCTGCCTCCTAAGTGTAGTGATTGAAGGCATGTACCTCTAGCCTGCATAAAAACATTTTAAAAAATATTTAGAAGTGTTTTGTGTACATGTATCTGTTTGTGCCATGTGTGTGCTTGATTCCTGTGGAGGCCAGAAGAGGACATTGGATATCCTAGAACTGCAGTTACAGATGGTTTTGAGCTAACATATGGGTGCTGGAAGTTGAGCCTGTCCTCTATAAGAGTAACAAGTGCTCTTAACCACCAAGTCAACTCTAGAGTCCATTTGTAGTTTAAGATAGAGTCTCATTCTGTAACTTAGGCTGACCTTAAATTCATTGCAATCCACCTACCTCTGTTGGGATTTTTTTTGTTTTGTTTTGTTTTGTTTTTTTAATATTTATTCATTTATTATGCATACAATATCTGCCTACATGTGTGCCTGCAGGCCAGAGAGGGTACCAGATCTCATTACAGATGGTTGTGAGCCACCATATGGTTGCTGGGAATTGAACTCAAGACCTTTGGAAGAGCAGGCAATGCTCTTAACCACTGAGCCATCTCTCCAGCCCCCCTCTGTTGGAATTTTAAGTATAAAACACACTGACCAACTGAGCATCTGATGAATGGTGGTGCCATTTACTAAAATGGAAAAAAAAAAAGGGAGGAGATGTGACTTTGAGGGGATTGATTATTAAGTAGAAAAGTTTTAATTTTCTTTTCTTTTCTTTTTTTTTTTTTTTTTTTTTTTTGGTTTTTCGAAACAAGGTTTCTCTGTAGCTTTGGAGTCTGTCCTGGAACTAGCTGTTATAGACCACACTGGACTCGAACTCAAAGAGATCCGCCTGCCTCTGCCTCCTTAGTGCTGGGATTAAAGGCATACACCACTACCACCCGGCAGTAGAAAAGTTTTCAATGCTGATTTGAGAGAGAACTTTGTAAGATGCTTAAACAGTAAATAAATAAAAAGCAGTTAATGGGCTTTTTGTTGTTGTTGCTTTTTAATTTTTTGTTTGGGTGCAGGGAAGAAATCCAGGGCCTGTGTTTGCTGCCCTACACCCCCTGGCCCCTCATTATATTTGACACAGTACTGAGTACACAGTAAGCACTTAGTCGATTATGGTTCTGGTCAGGTGATCTTATTTGTCGATTGTATTTTAGGTTATAGTTTATGATAACATATAGGTAGACTAAGGAAATCTGGGTGATCAGAAGCTTTCAGTTTGAATTTCTACATGGGAAATAGTATTTCATCTAAGCTAGAACCCAAAGGAAGGAGCTGTTATGGCAAACAAACAAAAAGTGCACTTGGTCAGAAACTCTAGGAAGGTAGGACCTGTCATCAGTGAATGTAGGTCCAGGGTTATAGAGAGTATGTATGGTTGGGCCTACTTAGAAAGCCTCTAGAAATGCTTATGTTTTGTTTTCAATGTATTTCTCATACTCACTTTAAAAATTCTAAAATTATATTTGTTTGTGGTCTTGAGGGGTGGTATCTGAGTGTCATGGCCTGCATGTAGAGTTGGTTATCTCCTTCCCTTGTATGGGTCCCTGGGGTTGAATTCAGGTTGCCAGGCATGGCAACAAGCTCTTTTGTCTATTGAGCCATCTTGCTGACTCTCATACTCTATTCCTGATGCCTTCCACCTCTGCCTTTCTGATACCTCCTTGGGTAATAGTATGTTGGAACAGGTTTTCTCTGTCCTCGCTGTGGAGAATGGAATATGGGTGACACATTGGCTGTGATATGAATTCACTGTATGTGATTTTAAGTAAATCCCAGCAAGTCTTCTGCAGTATTAGACATTCTGTGTAAAAATTTGCTTCTTTGATACTTCTAGGAAAGTAGGGTGATTCTTGACTTTTCTTGGGTTTTATTCAAGTATTCTGTCAGCATGCTATAGGTACAAGATTTTTGCCCTCACGAGGTAAAGTATAGCAGAAAAGTAGAAGGCAGATAAATCATTCACTTACAAATGGTGAGACCATCAACTTCCTTTTTCTGCAAGGAATGAACAGTCTTTGAACAGTCCTAGTGCCACCTTCTGATCTGACTAGACACTTCACTAATAGGTTTTATCTTATCCTCTCTGCCAGGGGTAACACAGATGGGGTCAATGACTGAAGACTTCTTGCTTAATACTCTGTTTCTGGTCTCTTACCAGGATATCAATAGCCTCAACAAACAAATTGCTCAACTTCAAGATTTTGTGAGGGCCAAGGGTAGCCAGAGTGGCCGGCATCTGCAGACGCATTCCAACACCATTGTAGTTTCATTGCAGGTGAGACCCTGGGGATGGAAGAAGTGAGGAGGGAATAATAGAAAGCATCTTCTTTGTATGACCCAATTGTTCTTGCTTTTTATAGTCAAAACTGGCTTCCATGTCCAATGACTTCAAATCAGTTTTAGAAGTAAGGACTGAGGTAAGTGGGATCTGTCGGTGGGAGGAATCTGTGGTATGGACCCAAGAGGAAAAGGGGAAGGGACAAGTTACCCAGAGTCATGGGGTCAACATACCCACTTTCCAGAGAGACTCAGAACCTTTGCATTTCCCCCCAACATCAGAACCTGAAACAACAGAGGAACCGTCGGGAACAGTTCTCCCGGACACCAGTGTCGGCCCTGCCTCTTGCCCCCAACCACCTTGGTAAGTCAGAAGCAATATGGGAAGCCTATTAGCTAAGTTCTGGCTGTGGTAGCATCCCTATTGCTAGTATAACAGGCATATGCCACTATTCCCCGCCCAAGTTGCTTTTTTTTTTTATGTAAGATTTATTTATTATGCATACAGTGTTCTGCCTGCATGTATGCCTGCAGGCCAGAAGTGGGAGCCAGATCTATTTCAGATGACTGTGAGCCACCATCTGGTTGCTGGGAATTAAACTCAGGACCTCTAAAAGAACAGCCAGGGCTCTTAACTGCTGAGCCATTTTTCCAGCCCCTTGAATTGTTTTTTGTTGTTGTTGTGAGGCAGGGTCTCTCTTTGTAGTCTTGGCTGTCCTGGAACTCGCTATGTAGATCAGACTCAAACTCAGATCCTTTTGCCTTAGCCTCAGGAGTGCAGAGATTAAAGTCATGTGTTACCATGCCAGGCCCTGAACCTGCTTTTAATCATTAAAATGTGCCATGTCCTGTTTCTTCTCCAGGGGGTGGTCCCATAGTTTTGGGAGCAGAGTCCCAAGCCTCCAGGGACGTGGCCATCGACATGTTGGACTCTAGAACAAGCCAGCAACTTCAGCTCATTGACGAGCAGGTACCCAGGCTCTGAAATCTAGAGGATCAGCTCCTCTGTTGTCTTCTGTTCTTCTGGAGTGTTTGGAATGTGACATGGTGAAAAGGTCTTAAAAATTCAGGCCCTAGTTCATGGTGCTTTCTTTTTCTGAAGGATTCCTACATCCAGAGTCGGGCAGACACCATGCAGAACATTGAGTCTACAATCGTTGAGCTGGGTTCCATTTTTCAGCAGTTGGCACACATGGTTAAAGAACAGGAGGAAACTATTCAGAGGTGAGCCACTCTCACCCCATATAGTGGAGCTTTCTCTTCCCCAGGGATTAACATCTTCAAGTTCCCAGGTACAGCTTGGGGGTCTTTGGAAGAGTGAGTGAATCCTTAACCCCCCTGAGTCCTAACTCACCAGATTCTAATCACTTAATAAGAGGGCCTGATGTGGTGATGCACACCTTTAATCCCAGCATCCTGGAGACAGAAGCAGGCAGATCCCTATGAGTTTGAGACCAGTCTGGTTTACATAGTGAATTCCAAGACAGTCTGGGAGGGCTACATAGAGAGAGACCCTTTTTTAATTTTGTTTTGTTTTGTTTTGTTTTCTGAGACAGAGTTTCTCTGTGTAGCTTTGAAGCCAATCTTGGAAAAGCCTGTAGACCAGGCTGGCCTCAAACTCACAGAGATCCACCTACCTCTGCCTCCCGAGTGCTGGGATCAAATGCGCCACCATCACCCAACAATTTTTTTTTTTTTGAAGACAGAGTTTCTTTGTGTAGCTATCCTGCATCTCACTTTGTAGACCAGGCTGACCTTCAACTCACAGAGATCTATCTGCCTGCCTCTGCTTCCCAAGAGATAGAATCAAAGGCATCATCACCATTACCCAGCAAGAGACCCTTTTTTTTTTTAAACTTTATGATTTATTTATCTTTTATTTTATGTGCATTGGTGTGAAGGTGTCAGGTCCCCTGGAACTGGATTTTCAGACAATTGTGAGCTGCCATGTGGGTCCTGGGAATTGAACCCGGGTCCTCTGGAAGAACAGTCAGTGCTCTTAACCGCTGAGCTATTTCTCCAGCCCCCAAGAGACCCTTTTTAAAAAATAAAAAAATAAAAAATTACTAAGGGCTTGGAATTATAGCATGGTTATAAAGTGTTTGCCTACCATACATGAAGGCTTAGGATTGGTCTTCAGAATCATAGACAAAAGGAAAGAAAGCAACTAGTGGAGCCTAGTAGCTGACCCAGCGGGTATAGGAGCTTTCTACACAAGCTTAGTGACATCAGTTTGATCGCTGCAGTCAGGTAAAGGAGAAACGAGAGACCAGCACCACAGAGTTGTCTTCTGCTGCTGTATCTGTGCCCCCTCCATACTAATAAATAAAAATGTAGAAAAAACAAACCAAAACAAAAACAGCTAAGAGGGGAGCACAGTACAGTATGCAGCCTTTATTCTTGAGCAGTGTTTGAGCTCAGGAGTGCAAGGCCAGCTCTACAAATGTAGTCAAGCTCTATTTCAAAAATTAAAAGAGATGGCCCAGCAGTTAGGAACACCTGTTCCTTTTCCAGAGGACCTGGGTTCAATTCCTAGTACCCACATCGTGTTGCACAACCATATTTAACTCTAGTTCAAGGGATCCAGTGCCCTCCCCTGGCTCCACAGGCATCAGGCATACAAATGATATAAAAACATGGAAAGCATACATTAAACAAGTTAATAAGTGAATAAGTCTAATTTTAGAAAAACTTAATAATTATATGAAAACAGGTATTGTGGCATATGCCTTTAATCCCAGTACTCCAGAAGTAGAGGTGGGCAGATCTCTTGAGTTTTGTCTTGTTCTGGTTTGGTGTTTTTAGATTTTTTCTTTTAATTTTATGTATATGAGTGTTTTACTTGCGTTTATATGTGCCATGTGTGTGCTTGGTGCCCACAGAGGTCAGAAGAAGCCATCAGAATCCTGGAAACTGGAGTTAGAAATGATTGTGAAACACCATGTGGGGACTGGTAATTGAACCTAGGTCCTCTGCAAAAGTAGCAAGTGCTCTTAATTGTTAAGCTATCTCTCCAATTCCTAGATATCTGCATTTGAGGCTGGCCTGGTTTACATAGCACATTCCAGGCCAGTCAGATCTAATGATGAAATCTTGTCTCAAAAAAAAAAAAAGTTTTCAATGTTATCTTCATTCTGTTGTTAAGCAAAAAATTTTAAATTTCAAATAGTGAATTTTTATGTTTGTTTGAGACAGGCTCTCATATTTTATCTCCGACTAGCTTTATATTCACTATATAGTAGTTCCTACGTAACTGAGACTGGCCTTGACTCCATTTCTTCAATGTTAGGATATAATAGACAAGTGCCACCCTCCTGACTATTTTCATGAAACTCCAGTATGGGCAAGGTGGAGAGCTGAGACAGATGGAAGGGGCTCACCAGTTAGTCAGCCTAGCTAAAGCAGCAGGGCTCAGGGTCAGTGAAAGACTGTCTCAAGAAAATTAGAGCCTGATAGAACAGGATACCTGACTGTCCTGGCATCTGGGTGCACACACATGCACACATATCCATACACATACATATACACAACAGATCTGAAGCTGAAGAGATTACTCACTGTTCTTCCAGAGAACCCAAGTTCAGTTGTAGCCTTCATTTTAAGTGACTTACAACCACCTATAACTCTAGCTGTAGGTTATCTAATATCTCCACAGACAAATACATATAATTAAGAATAAAATGTTAGAAAGAGACACCATGGATCCGCTGGAGACAGACGCTGGGAATTTTACCCGGTAAGCCACTGCCATGTGGCAATACACAGATTAATAGAAATGGGTTAAATTAAGATGTAAGAATTAGCCAATAAGAAACTAGAGCTAATGGGCTAAGTAAGCAGTGTTTCAATTATACAATTTCTGTGTTACTATTTTGGGGGTGAGCGGCCGGGACAAACAAGTGGCCCTCCTTGCAACAATTGGTACTCCAACATGGTCATCTGTATCGATGTAAAACCTGAGAAAGTTTGAAAAGGAATTCTAGACACAAAAATACAGAGTCTAACACAGCTTTTTGCTGTTTGCTGGCAGCATGCCACAGCTCCTTTAAGAGAGGTTTTCCTGACTCAGCCATAGCAAAAGAAAAAAGCCACGCAGTTTTAAAATGCCCACTTTCTGGGTTGTGCTGCCAGCGTGATCTCTGGCTCTTTCAGGCTGGAGGACAGCCACAGAGCACTTGAGTGGGGTTTGTGAGCAGGCTGCTGCAGCTTGCTTGATGGCGGCTTGGACTGGTTGTATGCCTAGAAGTGGGGCAGTGCGCACAGCTCAGAGGCGCGAGCAACTCTGCCATGTTGGACTAGGTGGGCAAGCAGGCACTAACATGTTACCCTGATTAATGACGCAGCTTAAGTTTTTAAGAAGCACTTAGCATTTTAAGAAATGCTCCTGGACAGTAAAGAATTACAGATACACAGTAGGACAGATTCAGACATAAAAGACGTATAAATTGGTCAGTGTTGGATAAATGTACGTAGGCTTGGAAGAGAGAAGAAAAAAAATATAGAGAGTCATAAAATAGTTAATGCTTTAAAAAGGTAAAGTCTTTAATGAGACAGTACAGATTAAAGGAGTAAAAATAAGAAAATAAATATTAAAAAGTAATAGAGTAAAAAAAATGTTAAATAAAATGTGAGGAGGCTGGTGTGGTGCACATGGGAGGTGAAGGCAGAGGAACCAGTTGTTTAAAGGTCATCAGCTCCATAGGAAGTTCAAGGCCATGGTCTGGGCTATATTTTAAGACTCAGTTCCAAAGAACAAACTAAGGATGTCCGCAATAATAGAGTGCTTACTTGCCTATGGTTTACTAGGCTTGTGGATTCAGTTCTTGGTACCACAGAAGAAAAGGGGTAAGCAAAAAGAATAGATAACCTTTTTTAGGAGTTTTGTTTCAGAGTGCAGCAAGAAAGTCATGTTTCATTGCTTGTACTTATAATCCTGGTATTCAGGAGGGCTGAGGTTGGAAAGATTGTGAGTTTGAGGCCAGCCTGCTTGGACAACTATAAAACTCGGTCTCAAAAAGAATTAAAAGCTGGTGACTGGAGAGATGGCTCAGTGGTGAAGAGCACTGACTGCTGCTCCTCCAGAGGATCTGGGTTTGAGTCTAAATAACTACATGGTATCTTACAACCACTTGTGATACCAGTTCCAGGGGACTTAGCACACCGTCTTCTTGCCTCTACAGGTACCAGGCGTGCATGTGCTACACTGATTTTACACACACACACACACACACACACACACACACACACCCTTGCACATGTCAGAAACAGAGCTGACAAACGGATGAAAGAAAAAGCACTACATCCAGCCCTTGTGCTGCAAGGAAATGGAAGGGAAGAAAGGGAGGAGTAAAGGAAAGAAGCCAAAATCAAACATGTTATGTTCTTCTTATCCACATACCTCTTTGAAAAAATTGATTTTAGATGTCACCAACAACAGAAAATATCAGTGTTGCTAGTGATGGAACAGCTGAAAAAGTAAGCAATATGGGTGCTCCACTCAGAAATAATCTCAGGACAGATCGGTGAAACAAAGTTTAGTGAGTTTATTAAACAGAAACAGTGAGCCTGGGAAGAACCAGGTGCTAGATGAACACACAGAAGTGTTAGTAGCTGATGTCTTTAGGTCTTGCAAACTACTCAAATGGCAGTTAGGTTTGTGTCTTAGGGAACCCATTTGCTGGCATATTCCTCTACCCACAGAATTATGACCTTAAAGAGACTTAATTGTGCAGGCTTGCAGCTAGAGGGAGAGAGAAGTAAGAAAACAAGCTGGGCAGTAGTGGCCCACGTCTTTAGTCCTAGCACTCAGGAGGCTTGGGCAGGCAGATCTCTGTGAGTTCAAGGCCAGCCCGGTCTACAGAACAAGTTCCAGGACAGGCTCCAAAGCTACACAAAGAAACCCTGTCTTTAAAACAGAGAGAGAGAGGGAGGAGAGAGAGAGAGAGAATGAAAACAAATGTTTAAGAAATATAAATATCAAGGTCATTGTAGAAATTACAAACAACAATAAAGAGAAACTGTGGATTGTAATCCTAGGAGACAAAGGCACAACCATCAGCTAGCCTCAGCTGTGTACTTCTGGACCAGCCGCTTTTTCAAAAAACAACCCATCAGTCATAAGGATAGTGAACTTAAAAGAATCTGGTGTAGGGACTGAAGAGAGCTGGCTGTTCTTCCAGAGGTCCTGAGTTCAATTCCCAGCAATTACATGGTGACTCATAGCCACCATAATGAGATCTGGTGCCCTCTTCTAGTATGCAGACAGAACACTGTATACATAGTAAATAAATCTTAGAAAAAAAAATTTAAAAAAGAATCTGGTTTGTTAAGTTTCTCAGGAAAGGGAAATTACAGTTACAAAGTTGGTTTGGTCATTATGTTGAAAAGTCTCAAGGTATCAGCCAGCTAGAGATGGACATCAGAACAGGGTGCAAGAGGATTTCCTGTCTGTTGCTCCTTTTTTGTTTCGTTTTTGTTTTTTTGAGACAGAGTTCTCGTAGCTATGGATTCAGTCCTGGAGCTCACTCTGTAGACCAGGCTGGCCTCGAACTCACAGAGCCTCTGCCTCCCTAATGCTGGGATTAAAGGTGTGTGCCACCACCACCTGGCTCTTTTACATTTATTTTGTGTGTGTGTGTGTGTATATATATATGTTGGTGTGCATGTGCCATGGCCCTCATGTGGAGATCTAAGACCAACATGATGGGGGAACCGGTCTCTCCTTTTACGGTGTGGGTTTCAGGGATCAAACTTAGGCCATCAGGCTTTATGGCAAGCATCCTTACCTGCTGAGCCATCTCATAGGCTCTTGCCTGGAATTTTTAATTCAAGAGGAAAAAAAGCTACGAACAATGACTGAGTATGTAGTTCAGTGGTAGGGCAGTGACTAGCATGTACGTGTCCTGGGTTTGATCTTATAACACAAGGAGGTGGGGGTACTGTATCTGATATCTGTTCTCACTGATATAAAGGCAGTCTGACATTAAATGGTTCCTAATGCAATACAAGATAAATAGCATCTCCTTTCATGTATCCTTATACAAAATAATTTAAGCAGGGGTCACTGGAACCTGTATTTGGAACATTGGAGAACCAAAAGTTTTTCTTTTTTGGAAGAACAGTAACAAGGCCAACAGACAACCAGGCTATAGCACACTGCAAGGAATGCAGCCTTTTTTCTTCACAAGGCAGTGTAGTCAGGAAGGAGCACCAGACTGTAGAAATGGCTCAGAGGTTAAAAGCACTAGCTGTTCTTCCAGAGCACACAGGTTCAATCACCAGCACCCACATGACAGCTTACAACTCTCTATAACTCCAGTTTCAGGGAATCAGAATCCCTCACACAGGCGTACGTGCAGGCAAAACACCAATGTACATGAAAAGGAATAAATTTTAAAAATAAATTTAAACTGGGTGGTGGCGGCGGCACACGCCTTTAATCCTAGCACTCCGGAGGCAGAGGTAGGTGGATCTCTATGAATTCAAGGCCAGCCTGGTCTACAGAGTGAGTTCCAGGACAGTCAGGACTATTTCACAGAGAAACCCTGTCTCACAAAAACAGCAAAAAAAAAAGGGGGGGGACTGGAGGGTTTGGGAGGAGGGGCGGAAATGGAAAAATGGAAACTTTTATAATTTAATAAAATTACTTTATTTTATTTAGAACAAAAAAAAAACCCCACCTCTATCACAGATCACATGTACTTGATTGTGAAGATTTTTCAACTTTTTCTGCTTCCCATTGCTTTTTGTTTTGTCTTTCTTTTCTTGTTTGGTTTTGTTTTGTTTTGTTTTTTGGTTTTTGGTTTTTTTTGAGACATAGTCTCATTATGTAGCCCTAACTGGCATGGAACTGAGTGACTGCCTCTGCCTCCCAAATGCTAAGGTTAAAAGTCATGTACTACCACTCTTCCTGGTCTTTTTAACTGAAAAACAAAATAAAAAACAAAGAACATTTTTTTTTCCACCAGGTATGGTCACATGCCTTTATTCCCAGCATTCTGGAGAAGGTAGATCTTTGTGTGTTATATGGTGAGTTCCAGGTCAGCCAGGGCTATACAGTGAGACCTTTTCTCAAAAATAACAAAAATCCAGCAGGATTGTGTGTACAGGTGTGCCTAGGTGCAGAAGTAGCACAGCAGCTGTGGAGCTGTTTCTCCTGTCATGTGGATCCCAGGGATTAAAGTCAGGTCCTCAGACAGGCACTCCACCCACTGAGCCATCTCCCAAGCCTCTATAATCTTTTATATACAAGATTGCATGTAAAAGGTTTATCCATTTTTGTTAAGCAAAGCCATTTATAACTGCCATTATGAGCTTTATTCATTGTGAGATAACAAATAAGCTACATTGAAAAAAAAATGTAGTTATGATGGTGGTACATTCCTTTAGTTCCAGCATTCTGGGAGGCAGAGGCAGGCAGACCTTTGTGAGAATGAGACCAGCCTAGTCTACAAAATGAGTTCCAGGGCAGCCAGGGCTGTTAAACAGAGAAACCCTGTTTCGAACAACCAACAACAACAACAAAAAAAGCGGACACTAAGAGAGACTTACATAGATATAATCTACATGGGAAGTAGAAAGTAGAAAAAGACTAGATCTCCTGAGTAAATTGGGAGCATGGGGACCTTATGGGAGGATTGAATCAGGGAGGGGAGCAGAGAAAAATGTAGAGCTCAATAAATATCAATTTTAAAAATGCATTATTGGTAAAAAGAAAAAAGAGAGTAAGGCTATGCATGGTAGCATATGCCTTAATCTCTCAAGTACTCAGAGGTGGATCTCTCTGAGTTTGAGGCCAGCCTGGTTTATGTAATAAGTTCTAGGACCCTAGGCTATTCAGAACTTGTCTCAAAAAGCAAAATAAAGTAGCTATAGCCAACAGCCATGAACCTGATATTTTAGCCTCTCCAACATAAAAAAGAACCACAATTCAGGTTTCTGAATTGAGATGCTGAGTTGAGCTTAATCCTTTTGCTTGTCTTTTCAGGACTTAAGCTTGCAGCCCTCTGTCCAGCTCTTTTCCATTTCTAGCCAGATTGCTAGGACCCAGCTGGGTCATACTCAGCTCCTGGAGGGTTCTAGGTCAAGGACTTCCCTCTGCAAAATCTAGGGTGTGTTTCATCATATGTTGCTTACTGATAGGGTTATGTTTTGAATAATTTGTCATGAGATGATTTTACACATGACAGAATGTAGTTACATGAGTTAAAATAGGTTTTATGTCAGTAGGCTGTACAGTCCTAGTAGATTGCCATTCTTTCTAGGTGGGCAGGGTGTCTGAAACAGACAGGGTGTCTCTGTATAGCTTTGGAGCCTGCCCTAGAACTTGCATGTGTGCTGTAGGCCAAAGGAAGGCGTCAGATATCACCTATTACTCTGTTCTTCGAGGTAGGGGCTCTCCCTTAGCCTGAAACTTGGGTTTTTTCAGGTAGCCAACGAAATCCAACTTTTTCCTATTTTCTCCACCCACCCACTGTATTGTGGGTATAGACACAGGTAAGACCATGGCTAGCTTGTTATGTGGGTACTGGGATCCAAATTTAGGTCCTCTTGGTTGCCAAGCAAGCACTTTTCCTACTGAGCTATCTGCCCAGCCACAAAATTTGGGTTTTAGGGTTGTGCGCATAGATTGTCCAGGGAAGGTTTTGTATTCTTCAGTAAGTTTTAAAAATCATCCTTCCCCAGAGACAGTGCTCTCTGAATGTAAGGTTTGTATTATTCTTTGAGTTCCTGTCTATATTAAGTTGTCCCCATCCCCCAACCAGAATTTTCTTACTGTAGTGGTCTGAACTTTACCCCCATTATAACAATGTTCACCAGTACGGTACACATATTTAATCCCAGCCCCAGCACTTGGAACACAGAGGCAGGTCTGGTCTACATGATGAGTTCCAGGACAGCGAGGGCTACACAGAGAAACTCTGTCTTGAAAATGCTAAAAAACAAAACAAACCAAAAAAAATGTAATAAATGTTCATTACCTGAAAAAAAATCAGCAAATGCTAGATTATAATTACGTATTTTATGTCAGGTGGTGATGGCACATGCCTTTATCCCAGCACTCAGGAGGCAGAGGCAGGTGGATCTTTGAGTTCGAGGTCGGCCTGGTCTACAGAACAAGTTCCAGGACAGGCTCCAAAGCTACACAGAGAAACCCTGTCTTGAAAAACCACACACACACACAAAGGTATTTTAGGTACTCATATGGATTGGGGTACATCTCATTTAACTCACTGAAAATTGAAACCTCATGAAAGGAGGTAGGGTTGTTTATGGCAATCTCATTTTTCAGATGTGGAAAATAAGACCTTGTTAAATAACTCAATCTTAAGATAATAACTGACAGAAAGATTTCAGACTAGAGCCAAGCATGGTCTACTACCCTAAAAATCTTGTATATACTCATACATGTACACAAAAGAGATCACATGACATGAAACACTTTTTATTTCTATGTATTGTGATCACCTTTCCATAGCAGTAAATAGATGACCTCAGCTTTCTTTTTAATCCAATGTCCTGTTTTCTCTACTGGCTGTTTCCAGGATCGATGAGAACGTGCTTGGAGCCCAGCTGGATGTTGAGGCCGCCCATTCAGAGATCCTCAAGTACTTCCAGTCAGTTACCTCCAATCGGTGGCTCATGGTCAAAATCTTCCTCATCCTCATTGTCTTCTTCATCATCTTTGTGGTCTTCCTTGCCTGACCCCTCACTCACTCTGAGGCACTCCATGGAGGGTTTGGGACCCTCCTGGGAGGGCAGGTGGCCACTATTGCCATTGAGCCTGTGTAGGGTGGTTGGGAGAAAGGCCATTTCCTTGGAACTGCTAAGAATGGCCAGTGTCCCTGTTTCCCACCCTTGTCTCTGGCCACTCTGTCCTACCCTCAGGCCCTTGAAACACACTGGTTCTGGATTTGGACTCTGCTGTGAAGTGGCCGGGAGCAGAAGACAGCTAGGGGCCAGTGGAGGAGGTTGTCTCCACGAGGGATTTTTATAAAACCTTACCAGCCTCCCCCAAAGGTAACTTTGGCAGCAAGGGGAGATAATGCCCCTCCTTGCCTCCTTGAGAGTGAGGCAAGGAGACAAAACTATCCCAGGGACCAACTTTACCATCAGATTAGAACTTGACTGCCTCCCTCTATTCACCATGTGAAGTGAGGGGGCTCTGAGCCCTTCAGTTGCCTGCACAAACCTGACTTTGGCTACTGGTGACTCTCAATCTGCCAAATGTGCTGCAGCCTGTTTCCTCCCAATTACAGCAAGACTGTCAGCCTCACTAGTGACGTTGTCATTTCTGGGTGGGGTCGTGCCGATACCAGAATCAGTAGGATAGAGTTGGTGGCTCTGAAGGGCCCCACAGATAAAGCAGGGTACTTTGGGGACAAAGTACCAACAGCATTTCATTAGCAGAATTTTCCTTTGAACTGGAGCCAAATGGATTCATCATTGGGTGGCAACTTCCAGGACCATCTCAAGCAGTGTTGGGGCCTGTTTTCATCTGTTTTCTCAAATCACTTAGCCTTGATTCTTGAACTAAGTGAAGCAAGACCTCTGTTCCTGGGAGCAGAAGAGAACTTGTTCCCAGCTTGTGGCACCTTCTAAGATCCTCAGCAAATCCAAACCAGCCACTGGAAAATGGAGGCAACCCACCTAACACAGACCCTCAAGGGAGGTTAATGAGCTGTTTTGTCCAAACTGATTAGTATTGAAGTCATTGTTCCATGCCTACTGCTGTCCCATCTGCTTACCTTCTCCCCTCAGCAGCGTCTGGATCCCAGAAACCTCAGGCCAACATAGTGTGTCCTAGCCACAATGAAGGCCTTGAATTCACAGAGGTCCGCCTGCCTCTGCCTCCTTCAATATTGGGATTAAAGGCACGAGCCACCACCGCCCGGCCTGAAGGCTATTTCCTATAAGAGCTCTTGGGTTTGCCGTTTAAAAATTGTAATCACACCGGGCAGTGGAGGCACACTTTTAATCCTAGTGCTCTGGAGGCAGAGGCGGGTGGATCTCCTGAATTTCCAGAGAAACTCTGTCTCAAGGGGTGGCGGGGAGGATATCACTGTTAGAGAATTTCCCTGCCTACCTAGCTGAGGGGTCTACCCAGTAGGGATGATGACAGTTAGGTCCTCGAGTGTAAAGACCAATGCTCAACTATATCCCTGACAGGTTTTTGTTTTGAGACAGGCTTGCTATGTAGCTTTGGCTGTTCCTATATTCGCTATGTGGACAATGTTGGCCTTGAGCTCCCAAGTACTGGATTGAAGACCTACACCACCATGCCCAGTTTTGAATTTCTTTTTTTTAAAAGCAGGATCTCTCTACATAGCTCTGGCTGTTCTCGAAAGAACTGTGTAGACCAGGCTGGCCTCAACTCTGCCACCCAAATATTAGGATTAAGTTGTGTGCCCATCATTCGCGGCGTGATTCTGTCTTTATTGATCGGGCAATTTGGAAGGACCTACAAGGAACTAGATTTTAATTCACACGGATTTTTACGCTTGGCAAGATAATGAGCTAGGAGTGCTGCAGGAAGAAACGCTGTGCATTACTTAGGGTTCCTGCTTCGGTGGAGCTTACATTCCATTTTCTATTTCGTCATAATCCAGCGAAGAGGCAAGGAAAGCTGGGAGGGCTTAGGCCTGCGGCTGGCAAGGAAATCAAGTGCGACTTACAAGCTGCCGGGATCTCACCGGCAGGGACTGTGAGCCGTTATTCCCACTGAGGCCAGGTTTCCATTCTGTGTGACCCTCGTCCCTGCTCTTTGAGTTCAGGGCTACACGCTCGGCTCTAAGGAGACCCGCGTAGCAGCGGGCACGGTGAAGAAGCAGGAAGGCGGGGCCCGCCTGCAAGCCAACGAGCCCAGAGCTCCGGCTGTGGGCGGGCCTCGAAGGCCCTGGCCCCACCCCCGCGAGGCCGCCCTACTTCTGCGCAGGCGCGAAGAGCGCGTTCCCGCCCCGCGGCACCGCCCACATCCTGGGGACGTCGGCGGCGCGCGACGTGCTTCGCCGGATAAATGCGGTGGCGCCGGTCGTAGGAGAGCTTCTGTCTTGAGCGCCTGGGCGTCCGGGCGTTTGGTGGCGTCAGGTATTGAGCCTGAGTCCGCCTCTGTACCTGCCTGTGCCATGGCGGACGAAGGGAAGCCGTACAACGGTTAGTGCGGGGCCTC